GGGCAGGGGACTGGACTCGATGACCTCTCGAGGTCCCTTCTAGTCCTAGAATCTATGAATCTATGAAACAGTTAGGGTTCTGGCCTTCAATCAGGCAAAGCTGTAGCCCCAGTCCAGTCTATGGGGCACGGGTTTGTGGCAAGCAACACACAGTCTATGGGTCTCAGGTTTGGGGTGAGTGCCACATGCAATCTATGGGGCTCAGGCAACGAGTTGATCTGAGGAGCACAGGCTTCTGGATTACACAAGGGGAGTACTGCCACCGCAGGGGTGGGGTGGCAGGGGGGATGCAGGCCCACCCAAATCCACCATGTCCCAACCCAGTGGTGGAGCAGTCTGCCACTAGGTCAGCGGGGATCCACCCGCAACACGCTGACCTGGTTTTCGGCTCGCTCCCCACCAGACTACTGCTTGGTTCCCCTGGGTTGCTTCCTTCTCTCTGCCTCGGATCCGTACCTGGATCCAGCGGTCATCCTCAATCTCCTCCAGGTACACTGCCAAGGGTAGCAGTAGCAGCTCCTCTGCATCGAGAGCATTGGGGCTCCCTGGAAGCTCCTGCTGGTCCCTGGGGCAACAGCGGTTCTCCTTGGTGCTCACCTCCAGCAGCGGGGAAGAAGCGGCTTCTTCCCTACTGAGCAACTGGGCCAGCCTTTTATAGTTCCCCTTCCTGTCCCACCTCTCTACTTCTGGCGCGTGGCCTTCCTGGCTCCTCCCACCAGGCGGCCTGCGGCATATATCTTCATTGACGATCTGGAGGATGATGTGGACTGCACTCTCAGCAAGTTTGCAGATGACACTAAACTGGGAGGAGTGGTAGATACGCTGGTGGGTCGGGATAGGGTCCAGAGGGACCTAGACAAATTAGAGGATTGGGCCAAAAGAAATCTGAGGAGGTTCAACAAGGACAAGTGCAGAGTCCTGCACTTACGACAGAAGAATCCCATGCACTGCTACAGACTAGGGACCGAGTGGCTAAGCAGCAGTTCTGCAGAAAAGGACCTGGGGATTACAGTGGATGAGAGAGGAAAGGGGAGGGAAGATGGGTTCACACACTCCTAGACCCAGGTAGCTTTCTTGCCGGACGATGCCAGGCCGAGTTAGCCCACCGTGGGTCGGACCTTTTAAAAGATCCTTTAGTTACTAGGCTTGCGTTAGAGTAGTTCTGGTTACGAGCCAAAAGACTTCGCAGCGTACTCTGGGCGTCTTGTGGTACCTTTTATTTACACTGGTGTGTACACACACCCCAAGGCCTTTATTTTTAAATACCACGATGCATTTGTACCTTATGTCCGGACTCAATACACTATGAGGCGGTAACAATCCCTCTTGAGGCGGTAAAAACCCCTGAGCACCGGTGCATACCTAATGCATTTTTTTATGCATATGGGGGCGGCCAAACTAAGTTTCCCAGAACCGCATAAAATTACCTTATTGGGGGCGGCAAAACAAATTCTCAGAACCGCTTTGCATTTGATTTTGCTGCACAGTTAATAAGTTCGGATGGCATGAGCCCAACAGGGACCGACGGCCCCATGGACAGTTTTTCTCCAACACCCCAATAGAGATTTCAAAAGGTCTCCTACCTTTATTGTGGCACCATGGGGTTCAAAGGGGAACGATTCGTAGCAGCTGCCGGTGCCTCTGCGGGCATTGCCATCCCGGACGAGCCCCCAAATTGTTGGAGAATAACAAAGTTTTCACTTTTTGTTTGGGTACAGCAAGTTAAATACTTTATTTTTTTAAGCAATTGCATAAAAAAAAAGCTAAACAGGTCTCTTAACAGGTAAACAATTACAGCAAGCATTTATACCTTTTGTTACAAACAATAATGAGCAACAGCTGCATTTTGTTTATACATAGGTTATTTTAATATTTTGGTTTTTTTGCTTATTTAAACTTTAGTCTACATACAATTTACACATTATTTACACAAGGTCGCAACAACTTTTTACAGTTTTTTTTTTTTTTTTTTTTTTTTTTTTCACAATTTTTTCTTCTACAAATCTCGCATTATTAAAATTACAGTTAGCCTAACTCTTGCTAACAAACTGTTTGCATTTAAAATTCCCTTTCAATTCCTGTCAGGTCTTGCTCTGCTTCCACAGAGGGCTCTTATGCCGTCCCTGGCTGGACTCCAGCATTGGTGCTCCAGAGAAAGGGGACTGGTGAGTAGCGGGGAAGACTAGATACCTTGGTACAGGTGATCCAGGAGAGCCAGGAGGGACAACAGAAGATGTATTGGGCCCTGCAGGAACAGATGGGGCAGCTGCTTGATGAACAGCGGGCCCATGTAAGACTCCTGAGGAAGGAATCCAGGAGACCACAGAGAGTGGTGGGAAAAGCCTAGTGCCAGGAGGCCAGCAACAGAGGGAAGGGCTTGTTACGCCAGCGGAAGGCAAGGGCATGTGTGGAGGACTTGTCCCTATTGGGATGGGGGCAGGAAGCCTCACCCAGAACTGAGGGAGGGGCGAGACCCCTGGAGAGCCCGCTGGGTGAGGAAACCCAGGTGGCAACGGACATGTTGGGCCTGTGGGCGACAAGGACACCTGCAGTGCGAGTGCCCGGCGCAAGGCGAAGGCCCAAGGTAGCGAAGAGGCGGGAAGCCTGCTTTGGCTGCCATGAGCAGGGCCATATTAAGAGGCACTGCCCACTCAAAGGACGAGGGGTGAAGGAAGAGGTGCCTAAGGACCCAGGGGGGTCAAAGGCCGGCAGGGTCGACGCCGCGGTGATGGTGGTAGACCTGCCGGGGAACCATGCCCCACGGGAGGTCACAGACAGAGGAACTGAAACAGAGGGGGCCCAGCGAGAGGTCGGGACCCAGGCTGTGAGGGAGCAGGCGACGACGGGGACACAGACCCCAAGGTTAGAGGGGCCAGGGGATGCCAGCCTATGTCCGCGGCTGACGGACGTGGAACAGGCCCACTGGACAGCTGAGGTGGAGCTGCAGAAAGCCCACAAGGAGAAGGAAGACCTGGGCCTGAAGTTATCATAGAGTATCCGGGTTGGAAGGGACCTCAGGAGGTATCTAGTCCAACCCCCTGCTCAGAGCAGGACCAATCCCCAACTAAATCATCCCCGCCAGGGCTTCGTCAAGCCTGGCCTTAAAACCCTCTAAGGCAGTGTAAGCGGGAGGACTCACCCCTGCGGCGCCTCCTGCTGGTACCTTCTGGGAATTAGCGCTCTTCCAGCCTGGAGCGCCCTCTGCAGGCCGGTGTCCTGCTCACCGCTGGCCCCCGTGCCCCTCACGGACCCCGGTGCCCCTTTCTCTGGGTTGCTCCCCCCCCCCGACAGTACCCCCACACTAGGGTTACCATAGTTTAATTTTAAAAAAGGAGGACACTCCACGGGGCCCCGCCCCTTCCCCAAAGTCCCCGCCCCAAATCTGCCCTCTGCCCTGAACGCTCCGCCCCCTGCTCCTCCCCCTCCCCTGCTTCCCGCGAATCAAATGTTCGCAGGAAGCCTGAAATGGGGAGGCAGCAGGTAAGCTGGGGCTGGGGCTGCGGCTGGGGCGCGGTGCCGCCCAGTCCGGCCGAGCGGCTCCCTCTGGCGGCCGGCCGGACCAGGCCAAGAGGCTCTGGCCCCGGCGTCTCCCGCCCGGCTCAGGCCCCGGGGCACCGGCCCCCGGCCCCGCACCCCCAGCCCCCGGCCGAGCACCGCCGGCCCCGGCCCTCGGCCTAGCACCCCCAGCCCCCCACCGCCAGCCCTGGCAGCGCCAGCCCCTGGCCGAGCACTGCCGGGCCCTCCCTCCCTATTTTCCCAGACATGTCCGGCTTTTTGGGATTTCCTCCCGGACGGGGATTTGAGGCCCAAAAAACCAGACATGTCTGGGAAAATCCGGACATATGGTAACCCTACCCCACACTCTCAGGTTCTGGGTCTCCCCACCCAAGAGAACCCCCATCCACTAACCCCACCTCGCCTCAGTCTGGGCTACTGCCAGTCACCATCTAGCCCCACTCCCTGGGGCAGACTGCAGTATAAGCCACTCATCACAGGCAAGGGGGTTCAGACCTGCTGCCTTCCTCTACCACCCAGTACCCTTTTAGGCTTTAAACCAGACCTTGCAGCCTGGGGAGTTGCCAGCCAGGAGCTGCTCTGGCCTTTCCCCAGCCCTGCTTCACTCCTAGTACCCTTTCTGCAGGTAGCCAGGCCCTGCTCCCTCTCAGACCAGAGAGAGCCTCTGAACGCCTGGCTGCCCTGACCTTTATAGGGCCAGCTGGGTCTGTTTGGGGCATGTCCTCCAGCTGAGGCTGCCTCCCAATCAGCCCAGCTTTTCTCTCAGCCCTCTCCCAGGGGTGGCTTTAACCCTGTCAGGGCTGGAGCGGGTAACCACCCCGCTACAGGAAGGAGATTCCTGTGGGGCCTGTTTCCGATCCTCTGTCCATTCACGTATCCGGGCAGAGTTCCTCTGGGCGGCGTCCACTGGCTCCCTTGACACCTTTGAGGAGCAGTGGGCGCTGTCCGGGGTTCTCTGCTCGGTGTCCCCGTCAGGTTCCCTTCTTTTGACCTTTTAATCGCACTCCTGTCCCTGTTTTTACATTAGTTGTCCCCCGTAATCATTTGGGTTTTAGGTCCTGTGGGTCCTCCCCTTAGGCTGGGGGGAGGATCCTTTAGCAGTGGGAGGGCTTTGCCCACCCACTTCCCGGAACCCAATAGGTACAGGAAGGAGATTCCACCACCTCCCTAGGGAACCCATTCCAGTGCTTCACCACCCTCCTAGTGAAATAGTGTTTCCTAATATCCAACCTAGACCTCCCCCGCTGCAACTTGAGACCATTACTCCTTGTTCTGTCATCTGCTACCACTGAGAACAGTCTAGATCCATCCTCTTTGCAACCTCCCCATCAGGTAGTTGAAAGCAGCTAACAACTCCCCCCTCACTCTTCTCTTCTGCAGACTAAACAATCCCAGTTCCTTCAGCCTCTCCTCATAAGTCATGTGCTCCAGCCCCCTAATCATTTTTGTTGCCCTCCGCTGGACTCTTTCCAATTTTTTCACATCCTTCTTGTAGTGTGGGGCCCAAAACTGGACACAATACTCCAGATGAGGCCTCACCAATGTCAAATAGAGGGGAATGATCACGTCCCTGGATCTGCTGGCAATGCCCCTACTTATACAGAGCAAAATGCCATTAGCCTTCTTGGCCACAAGGGCACACTGTCGACTCATATCCAGCTTCTCGTCCACTGTAACCCCTAGGTCCTTTTCTGCAGAACTGCTGCCTAGCCACTAGGTCCCTAGTCTGTAGCAGTGCATGGGGTTCTTCCGTCCTAAGTGCAGGACTCTGCACTTGTCCTTGTTGAACCTCATCAGGTTTCTTTTGGCCCAATCCTCCAATTTGTCTAGGTCCCTCTGTATCCTATCCCTATCCTCCAGCGTATCTACCTCTCCCCCCAGTTGAAGGAAAGTGAAGAGAAGCGAGGGCAACTGGCGGGACATCTCCGGGTCGCACAGGGTAGAGGACCCCCTACTCCCGGGCATGGGATTTTGAGGGGGGGAGTATAGCAGAGCAGTCACCCCGCTCCGGTTTGGAAGGGGTTAACAACAGCCCTGGGAAAGGGCTGCTCCGGGGAGCCAGTCAGGAGCAGGCTTGAGGCAGCCAAGCAGGGGCAGTATAAGAAGGGCTGCTGGGGAAAAGGAAGTGAGTCTTGCTCCAGCAGTGGAGCAAGAAGGACCTGGCTGCCTGGTAGAGACAGGGGTACCTTGGACAGAGCAATACTGGGAAAGGGCAGGCTGAGCTGGGGAGCTCTGGCCTGGCGCCCTCCCAGGCTGAGGCCTTGCAGCAAAGGCCTGAGGAGATACTAGGGCTGCAGGGAGGCAGCCAGGCCAAGAAAAGGCAGCAGGTCCAAGCCCCCTTGCCCGTGATGAGCGGCCATTTCAGACTGCAGTTTGCCCCTGAGAGAAGGGGCTAGATGACGACTGGCAGTAGCCACTGAGGCAAGGTGGGTATAGGGGGTTGGGGTTCCCCTGGGAGAGGAGCCCCAGAGTGTGGGGACACTGCTGTGGGGCAGCACCCCAAGCTAAGGGGCACCGGGGTCCAGGCGGGACACGGGGCTAGAGGTCGTGGAGACAACAGGGCAGGTAACTGAGGGATAGAAACCGGCCAGAGGAGGGCGCTCCTGAGCTGAATGAGCTAATTCCCGGACTGACCAGCAGGAGGTGCCATGCCCGTGAGTCAGTGCTTTGCTACATGAAATCAACAAGATAAAATTCAATGAAAGACAAGTGCACAGTACTTCACTTGGGAATGAAAAATCAAATCACAACTACAAAGTGGGGAATAACTGGCCAGGCGGTCACACTGCTGAAAAGGATCTGGGGTTTATAGTGGATCACAAACTGAATAATAGTCAACAATGTGATGCAGTTGTAGAAAAGACTAATATCAACCTGGGGCATATTTACAGAAGTGTCGTATGTAAGACATGGGAGGTAATTGTCCCGCTCTACTCAGCCCTGGTGAGGCCTCAACTGGATATTGTGTCCAGTTTGGGCTGTCACATTTTAGGAAATATGTGGACAAGCTGGAGAGAGTTCAGAGGAGAGCAACTAAAGAAGTTTAGAAAACCTGACCTATGAGGAAAGGTTAAAATAATGGGGCGTGTTTATCTTGGGAAAAGACGATTGAGGGGGCACCTGATCACATATGTGAAGACTGTTAAGGGTTGTTATAAAGAGGACAGTGATCAATCATTCTCCATGCCCACTGAAAGTACGACACAACACAATGGGCTTAGGCTGCAGCAAAGGAGATGTAGGTTAGATAGTAGAAAAAACTCTCTAATGATAAGTCTAGTTAAACTCTGGACCAGGCTCCAAGGGAGGTTGTGAAATTCCCATCTCTGGAGGTTTTTAAGAACAAGCTGGACAAACACCTGTCAGGGCTGGTCTAAATTTACTTGCTCCTCCCTTTGCACAGGGGGCTGGACTGGAAGACTGTAGAGCATTTGACTTGGTACCTGTGATGAAGTGGGAATTTTTTGTAATATTTTTATAAAGCCATGCGTGCCTCAGTTTCCCCTATATGCTGCATTGTTACATAGTGGAGGGAGGGGGGAAAACTGCTCTCTGGGCAGCATAAAACACAGGTGTGAATGGCTTCTAGGCGTCTGGGGCCTTAGGTCTCAGATCAATGTGCGCCTCTGGAAAAACAAGAGCAAATCCAATTGCCGAGACATTGCTACCTGGCAACCAACAACCCAGAGAGATATGGACTTTCTCCCCTCTCAGAGGGGAGGCGGTCAAGGCTGATTTTCCCACTTTGGCACTTTGAGTGCAGAAGGTGGGGGC